TATGCCAGCACACTCTTTCACCCTCATTTCAAGTTGTCCCTTTACATTTATCTCAAGCTTTCATAAAAATAGCAAACTACAAACTTTTTCACCTCCAATCGCACATCAGAGTGATTTCTTGCTTATCGCAAACAGCTTGTGTGCAATTCGTTGTCGAAAACTTGAAACGTCGTCATTGTCCAGGTTGCTCAGAGCAGCATCAAGCGATTTTGCGTAACCCTTGTTTCTTGCTCTGTAAGAGGCGGGGTTGTCGCACCCTTGACGATGTCTTCGAGTCTGGCTTGCTTCCTCTTCATGGTAGCAATAAGCCGAAAGTGCATGATTGTCGTAGACCACTTTCTTTGAGATTGACATGCGAGTACCTTCTACAGGAAGGTTGGTATAGTCACTCTGGCGTTGCAGTCTCCTCACTTCTCGCACCTCCAATAGTGCCTAGAATACACCTTCTTGTCAAAAACATAAACATAACTACAACTGCAACAAAGTATTGGTTTTCCTTTTTGGGCACACACCCCACCACATCTTCGTCCATTTCCCCCCAAATCGGGGGTATTCGCGTGCATGGTTCAAGGGATTTTCGGCGATACGTCTTTTCAGCATTTTGATTTTCCAGCATTCGTTGTTTTGGGTGTTTCGATTTTATGGCATCAAAATTTTTCAGCTTTCTGACATTCAACCTTTGAATAAATCGGCGTCTTAATTTTCGTCATTTTGATAGGGACCCAAGCTAATACTCCCTAATAAATCAATTCAATTAGCCTGAACAAAGCTTAATATGTTCTCTAAATGCTCACTTCCATGCAGCTTGTACCTCATACTAGGATTCATTGTTACAAGATATGAGCACGTGCAAGCACACAGATAACTTAGATAAGCCGAAGATAACTAGTGAATAATTTTCTCACCTAAAACCAAAAGTAAATAAAAAGTTCCAGTCAGTACGCAATGAAAATCACTACTAAGTGAACTGTTCAGTATATTTTTACCTGGAACACGTCAATGTTAAACTTACGACCACTTATGAGCAAAAAAAAAAAAGCTTTTTTAGCAAATTTTGACGCCAGTTGTGCACACTATTTTGCATTACGTACGTTTAAAATTATTTTCGCCTACAGGAAAACTACTAGACAATTCGTTAATAAAATCTACTTCAATTTACTGTTATCTGTCTACCCAAACAGTGATTTTGGTCGAATAAATTCAAATAAAATTTGAATAGTTCGTATCACATATATAGAAAAATGGCCATATTTATCATGACCTAATTGACCTGCACAATATTAAAAAAAATTAAGGCCTCTGTGCAAATGCCATTTTTCTTTGCACAAAGGAAGTCAAAACAACTTTCAGTAGCAGCAGGATTTGAGTTTCGATAAAATGCAAGTGATAACATGTAAAATATGTTACATTTAGAATTTACTATACTTAGAGCGTATAAGCTGGCATAACAAGCTTTTAAACATGAAAATACAATTAATAAATTGATGTAGCGGTAATATGTTTATTTAAATAGATCCTACAACACTTTTTCAAGTAGCCATGGCCAGGATTGACAAGGAGCTTACTGCTTCACGAATTCAACGCTGCAAAGATTTTTTATAGTTTGCCTTGTATAAGCGGAGTTGCAAAGTATTGCCACATGCTGCGATCGCATTCTCCCTTCTCTCTTCCCAACGAAAGCACCGGAAGATAAGCAGGGAGGGATGGCACAGGGGATGAAAATACGTCACTTGTGCCTTGTGACCTTGACCACGTTTTCTCTTTTTTTGCCTTTGGATACACGGCTTTTCAGTGCAATAGCGTACGCACGTGTGGACAAGTCGCGGCCCCAGTAACGTCCAACGTGCCATACTCAAATCAGCCAATCGCAGATACAATGGCTGTGATAAGTAATTTTTGAGCTTGTAGCACAATTTGTCGAGTGAAGGGAAAGCAACTTTCAGCTGAATTGGAACATTTGTTGAAGAATTCCAGCCTCGTGCTGCGCAATAATATTTGGCTCATGTGTTCTCGGGAGTATCGACTACCGATTGGTCGCGTTTTCCAACCATGTTCAATAAGTGTCGCAGGGGCCCTTAAATTTTGAAGAGGTTTTGCGGCAGTGCGAATTCCCCTGGGTAGGTGCTTTCATGGCATAGCATCCTATGTTGCAGTGAAATTACCTGTTTACACGATGTTATGTGCAGATCAATGTCAACTATTTGTTCATTGCAAATAATTCAAAATTTTCAATAATATAAAATCGAGTTGAAGCAAATTTGATTGTGGTAATGTTCCTTCAAATATTCGAAGCATTCGAATATTTGCACCAGCCTGCTTTTGTTCACTTGATATATTTGTCTTTTTTGCTCTCTGTGTGCAATCGGTTTCTCCTCTTCTTTTTTTCCTCCCTTTTCTAATGGTTCTCCCATCCTCTTTTGCCTTTTCCACCCTCTATACTATTTAAGGCTATGCTTTCTTCTGTCACCGTGCGTAAATAGCTGAAGAGTTATTCTCACCTTTCAATTGTACGTTCGCTGGTTCGAATATTGCCCCGCGAAAGCAAAAAAACCAGAAGTATTCTTGTTTTCTTTCCTTCTGCTGCTAAAAAGTCCCATGCTGCATTGCAGATGAGTCCTATCTGCTGCATTGCAGATGAGACCCATCTTATAAAGCTGCACTGGCTCGGAGGTTCCAGTTAGCTTGCCAGTATCCATTCAGATGTTATGACTGGCAGTGCAAGGACACAGTCTGCAATAGATGCTCATTGGCGTACCTGCCAAATTTGGTACGGGTCCAGCAGAAACGCAAGAGGTGTCTGGGTGCGCTGCAGGAAATTGGCATCAGTGTTGCTGGGACAGACAGTTTGCCTTTGAGGAGGAGCGCATGCGCGTACCGAGGATATGAAAAGCGCGTCGCGTGTGCGCTCAGGGCTCTCTTTGTGCTTTCGTTACGGCCAGTCCTGTCTCCTGTAAAAGCGCATCTCGACGCCTTGTGTTTTTTACACCTGTAAATATGTAAATAAATCGTGTGTTTCTGTCGTCAAGAAGCCTCTCAAAGGTGTCTCCTTCCCTGACACCTGGGTGAAAGCCTGTGCTGCTAACCTCGGTCACATCAAGGTGTGCTTCCCAAAAGTATCGCTGTTGTATGTAAAGGGTACTCACAATTGACAACAATGAAGGCATGGATAAACTTGTGGCTGGCTTGTCACCAGCCTTCTTGCAATATGTGCCTGTTTCAAATATATGAGGGCTATGTTTTCTTTTTTTTTTTCAAGTCCTAATTCGTTCGAGATAAAACTACAGCCAATTCAAGACGCTCATGTTTGGAATATTTAGGTAGACTTTCCAGCTGCCCCTCTGCATAGTTGCCACTGCAATTGAGGCATCTGTTTTGGTCTTGTAGCAGCTTTTTTTTATGCCCCCACCCCCTCGCCACATTTAAGACGGCCAAGTCAATTCTGTATGCCACTCGCTGTCTGTAGATTGTTGTCTACACAACCTGCTTCAATATTCCTACAATGTTACTATACTGTTTTTACACTTTGCTGTCACCACGGTTGCCACCTTTCCTCAAACAAAAAACAGGCCCTTCAGTGAGGAAGGGAGGGAGAGGGGGCGAGGATACCAGGAGATTAGACAGATGCTTGGGCTAGTTGGTGATTGGGAATCAGCATATTTGCACAGCGCAAGACTACATGTAGTTACAACGTAACTACAGACGAAGAGACAAGGACAGAAAGAGCGCTGACTTTAACTGAAATTTTATTTGCGAAAACGCTGAAAATATATACTCGTCACAAAACATCACCGCCCAATCGGGCAACCTATTGCATCACAGCAAAACAATCATCTCATTATATGGTTACAACGCCACAACTCAGCACAAATTCATGATCTATTGTGTCAAAGCCAGAAACTCTATTTATTTTTTAGTCAGAGCAAGTGAAGGCATGCTGATACATCGATCACACAGCATTTGCATTTCATTGGCCTCCATCATCTCTCGTGTTAGCTGCTGACGGTGTTTGGCTATAACACTGCACTTTTCGAATTCTGGTCTGCAACCAAAATCTCTACAATGGACGGCCAAATAAATTTGCACAGCTGAGTATACATTGTAATGATGCTCCTTTAATGGCTCATTTAGACACCGGCCCGTTTGCCCAGCATATATCTTGCCACACGATAACGGGAGCAAATAAACGACGGCTATCACACATGCTACGAATAGCCTTCTATGTTGGCTTGTGCAGCAGCTACTTCGTGCCGACTGCGCATTCACCCGTTTTCAAAGCGCTGAAAACTTTTCTAGGGCATAGAAAACAACCTTCAGATCTACCTTATCACCTACCTTTTTTAAATTGTGAGAAATCCTATGTAGATAGAGAATTCTAGTGTCACGGGGTCGTGACGTGACCGAAGACAGGAGACTTCGTGTTGGGATTTACCTGCTTATTCGGGCGAACCTGTGCCCAGTAAACGGAAAGTCCAATTACAGCAGCAGTCTTGCACAGATAACAGTCTCGGACTGATAGCGGGGAATGAAGCGTCGGCCTTCGATCAACAACTGACAAGCGGTGAAGCGCGTCGGCATTTATACTCTTGCCGTCGAATGTTCTAGCGTTATCGCTGGCGGTGGCATAGGTTCCAGAACAATCCCAGACAACGCTCCGACAACCTGAGGTTGTCCTGAGGATGACCTACACCGTACGAAAGTATGACCTGAGGAAGCCCTCAAATGAACCTCAAGTGGTCCTAAACCAGTCCGTTTGTCCGGCCTCAGATCGTCCTCAGGGCATCCAGAAAAGAGCACATTATGATGAGTCTAGTACTTTTTGAGGACGAAGCATACAAGACCTAGGCACTCATCAGACCTTACGAAAAGTTGCTCTAATTCTTCTTTTGGAGCGCTGAAATGACAACTGATCAATCAAAAGTGCCTGAACATGCACACTCTTTAAAGCACTGCCTGTGAGGTTTCAGTAACAATTTCTTCAAGTATAGCAATAAAAACAGCAATGCACAGAAAACATGTTTATTTTCAGGAATGAAACTTGGCAGTTTTCACTAGATGAGACTTCTTGCCCTGTGCCTTCAGAGGTCTTCATCCGATGGGCTTGACAACGCGACACTTTGAAGACATTCTGTAGTAATAGAAAGCAGCATATCTTGAAGCACAAGTGAATTTAGAGTATCAATAAGAATATTAAGACAATAACAGCATGCCAGATTTGAAAGCATAAAATGAAAATTATATTACCATAATGTGCAGGTACGAACTAGCCATTATATAATGGTGAAAATGATTTATATAGTTCATGCTTGCATACACATCAAAATTCGAGTAAGGCAAGAAAATTATTTAAACTATAACAGCAAAAGTATCATATGTTATGATAGCTTCAACAGCACAGATAATAAAACTCACCCTCATGGTGAGTGCGAGAAGTTCTTAAGCGCTGCTTCTGGAGCTTTTCCCCAGCATGCCGAAGCCACACTTTAATCACACACTCGATGTCATTTTTTTTTGTTTCCGGAAAATTTCGCCTCACGGCCTCTGAAAAAGTACAAAGTTCATAAAACAGGAATTACACAAACATAATACATTAATATAATGCTACATAGGTTGTTTGAAGAAGTACCTCTAGTCAGCATGATCGACATTTTGATAGGTGGGCACATCATCATTAAAGGTCCTTGCCATCCTTCCCCATGTTAATTTCAAGAGTACTGACATTGACACTATGTGTTGCATTACAAGAAGAACACCACGAAGAAGACATCATTGTAACTTTTTTGAAACCTAGCATGCAAAGAATGATGAGGCGCCTTTGACGAAAATACGTCCATGTATGAAAATGTTGACCAGCTTGTCTTAGGTACTTATTCCTGTTTAGAGATCCTCAGTGATCACTATGAGCTTCCATCTGTTAGTTTTCATCTGTACATAAGATTTCCACTACAGTTAAGAATGCCTAGTAGTGCTACCTGATAATAACTTCTGCAAGTAGTGAATGCTTGCGTATGTGTGCCATGCAAGTATACTAGTGTGCTTGAAGAAGCTGCAGGGTTTCTTACTGACAACAGATATTTCATGCTAAAAATTTTCCACGTTTAAGCACATAATTTTAATTAGCAAGCATCCTAAAAAATTTAATGCTTTCATGAAAAGATTGTTCTTTTGCTATTGACTTCAAATGAAAGATAATGTGGATAACAGACTTAGAAATGTCTGTACTCAAACACGGCTCTTGCAGCACATGGTGTTGTGAAACAAATTACTCACTGCAAATGACATCTGTGACACCTAGATCCACAAACTTCCTTTTGCCTTTTTGGCCTGCCCAGCTGAACTGCACAGCAACCTCAAGGCTTAGCAGAAGCTCCAGCATCCTCCTGGCTGCTGCCCCAAAAGTTGAGCCACCAAGGCCAGCAAGCTGCTGTATCTGTACAGTTTTGAGGTCATTATTTTTTTTAGAAGAGTAGCTTAATGCAGTGACTAGAAAAAAAAATTATAGAAAAATATAATGAATGACGTACAAGCTTTAGCTTAATGTTGCCATCAGCAGCAAGTCTCCCCTCAAGACTTAGAAATTGGTCAATATCCTTGACCGGTGTCAAAACCACATCATCATTTGTCTCATCTTGAAGCCTCACTGTTGTGTTGAAAAGGTGCTGCTGCATGGCATCAACCTGTCGTCCCAGCTGCTCTAGCCTCATCAGGATAGTTTGCGAAATTCGCATGAGTTGACGCACGTATTCTGTAAAGACGTGTTCATGAAGTAATAGCGCTGAATTGCAACATATAAAATGGCAAAAGCTGAGATAACATTGAAAATGAGAAGTGCTACTAAACACAGCAAAACAAGCACACAGTTGTTTATGGCTTCTCTGCACATTATTGTCGGTTTTAGAAATTTGTGCCTACATGGCTTCAGTTATTTTGTTAGCATGCTCAGTGATGCCTTTTTAGGACCTGAATACGCATGCAGAGTTGACACTGAGATGAAGCACCTTCATTGCGTGCTGTGATTCAGTGTACCCATATATTTACAACCTAGTTTTCAACAAAAACTTGGAATAAGTTCAGAAAAATTGTTGAAAGTTAGGTTATTAAGTGAATTTGTGAAAAATAGAATAAGCAGAAACAGATACTTTAATGTTTTAAGCACTGAAACAATGTGTGACCAGACCATACATATAACAGTTGCCATAGTTATATGTATGCGCCGGCCAGCTGCAACACTTCCAGGCACTTCTTGGGCGTCTGTAACAATGCCCTTGCAGTTGAAGGGAGCGCGCTGAAGCATTCGTGGGACTGTAGTACTCTCAAGAGCGATGTAACTGAAGTGTGCGATGCGCGAGATTGTAAGGCCCACGCTTGCAGTCTCTCACGAAAGGCCAGCAAGCTGTCCACACTGCCGCGTTCACAAACTTGCTCTTCGTTACTCCCAGTCGGTGCCAATTCGAAAGAATCCCTCTGCCTCACCTGCGAGGTCGCCGAAGTCGAAGCCGCAGCGCTGCTGTCATGGAAGGCACGCCGTTCGAAGTCTGTGTGATCGTGAGGCACAGAAACACTGCAGCCGCTGGGGTAGCACGCGTCGCCAGAAATCAAAACGTGTCCTTGGGGCACATCCGTTTCTGGAACGATCGAGGAGTGTGCCGAAGGCCGTTCTCTGTCATGAACACAAAGGCGACGATGGCCGTCTTCGAGGTCGACCGCACAAGCCTCGGAGGGCAAGTCGCTCTCTCTTTCGGCGTTGCGGGAATCTCGGTCAACGTACCGCGTGTCATTTATGACATCGGCCTCACTGTCAATAAGCTGAAAACTAGCATTGACGCGCCGATTAATTTCACGCCGAAATTTGCGATCCGCGCTCTCAGCCATCTTGAACAGCACCAACGTTACTGGATGGAGCCAGTTGGGAAACTGCATGGGCTCGCCACGGAAGCGGCGTGGCCGCTCACAGTCTCCCAAAACGCGGGGGCGCTGCGATCGCTTTGCGACCTGGTCATGTGACGAGCTTCGTGCGTCGTCTGCTCGTCGTCTGTTCCGCGCCCCGTCTCCGAAGGACGGCGCAGCGTTTTTGGAGCACTTCATATCTCAAGGAATCTTGTTAGCGGATGCATATTGAGAGCTTCCTGCTACAACCACTGCATAGATGAAGGTGGACACAGCTTGGAGCTCTGAACGAAGTCTGAGTGGTTCTTTTTGCCACGTGCTGATGGTGCTGACTGCATTCCGCAGGTGTTTCGATGTGATGAGCTTGTGCTTGCCTAATGAATAGGTGCCTCCGAGAGCATAAACTGAAATTTCCTGAAAATTTTTTTGAGATCGCATTGCTCGTGCAGTCCTTACATTGAGCGTTTTCTATAAAAGCATGCTCTTATTTGAAAGCGACAGTAAGCGTTCTAAATGAAACAGTCGCGAGTTCTGAAAACTTGCGCATGTTTTTATTGTATACAATGCCGCTGCATTTACGCTGCGGTGCGTTATCTGTGTGGCTTGTCAGGGAGAATAATACGATGATGTATATCTTACGAGACAACTCACTTTTTTTTTTTTTGGTTCCCAGCACAGCAATCTTTTGCAGAAGAAACACGTAGTTACAAACAAATTTTAACAGAATGGTTCGTAACAGTCGGCTTGTATTTTTTAAATGCATACCGTTTGTAAGTAGATACAGTTTTTAAATTGTGCAAATTCAACTATTTTATTAAGTGTACTTAAGTAAAGTGTGGGATTGGGCTAGTTGGTAATCCATATAAAACTTCTAGGCGCGTAAAACTTCAGACAACTAACACAAGAGACGAGGACGAGCGCAGACTTTCAACTGATTTATTACTACTACGACACACATATATATGTTAGAAAGAAGATAAGATCACTTGCTTAAAAAAAAAAAAAAAAAAAAAAAAAAAAAAAATCAAAAGGCGAAAAAAAAGTTTTACGCGCCTAGAAGTTTTATTAAGTGTAAAGATTGTTTTTCCGATTGACAATTAAATGTATCGAATGTGCATGACTAGGAACACGGAATGCCAATCGAGTGGATATGAATTAAGGAGCTTGGAGAAGCTCCTTCATCTCTTCGTCACCTCTTCATGAAGGGAGGAATGCAATCGAATTAAAAAGAACAGCGTCATTTTAGTTTGACACTCGAATACCCAAATTTCGAACCAATGACATGCGTCGCCGGTAAGCTGGCTGTGTTCTACGTGGGACTCCTGCTAGGTTATTTAATGCTGTTCCGATGTTCCCGTGTCCTCATTACAGCCCTTAATTCACTGAGATCTGTGCATGTTGCTGTGCAATAACTGTAAGAAAAGCCACCAAACACATTTGTTCAAGTTCCTGTTTTTTTTTTTACTTGGCAACATTTCTATGTTAAATCACTGCGTAGTTTATTGGTGCGTAGTCTAGAGAAGTTTGGCTTTCTTTTTTGTAGAAGACACCCTGCCAGAAGCACTCAGCTTCTTACAAACATCTCTCGTAAAAAAGTGCATTCTCAAAACAACGTATGAGTGTACAATCTCCGATGTCAGGATGTCCTTATGAACTGAACAACCAACGCTTGGAACATCGCAGTCTTTGATGACATCCAGCGCATCCCAAAACATGTCGGCGCACAGATGGTTTTCTCCTAGCACGAGAGACAGTTTTTCTTCGACGCGTTTCAACATTGTGTAAAGTTCTGTAGAGGGATGCTTGAGGCTTCCGTTCCTGAATTCTCTTGCCAATGTCAGTAGTGAAGCGGGGAATTTAGTGTTTGTTGACTGGATGCTGCTTATGCAAGCAGCGCAGTTGACGTGCTTCAGAAAAGAATGTACAATGTAGCCGCAGAGGTAATATACGACGCACTCCTGTACTGCTGGCAAAGCATATCCGTGGTCCGGAAGCGGTGTCGGTCCCGAGTGGGATGCTGAACTTATTCCAGGCAAGCAAACCTCGGAAATCTTTGCGCTGATTGTCTCACGCAACTTTTCATACGTTGCCAGCTGCTGCTTCTTCCCTTGCTTCATCGTCTCTTGCACTGTGGCTAGTATTAAGGTTGGCTCCTCTTGGACATTGCCTGCAATCGAAGCCTTGACAGGTGTGTACAGGCTCAGCAACCTGTAGATATGGGAAAAGCTCAGGATCGTCGGATGGTCTTCGTCACCTCCAAAGCTCCTGGTGATTCCGAAGAACCTCTGTAATGGTAGTAATAAAGCCGTACGTCAGTTCACCGTATGTATCTCTTTCAGAAGTCAAAGTACGCATGGCGTATGGAATGCATAAAGAGGATTTATAGAGTGCAAGTCTCAGGCGGGAATTGCACATCTCACATAGAGATATGACGACTGTTTAAAACCACGCTATGCTTCCTCATAACCGTTTTGTTTATTTTCCATGCAATGAAGTAAGTGCGCAGTTTTATGGAATTATGCTAATCTCACCTCCAAGGGGTCTTGATTAAGCTTGCCTGTGAGCACGTAGCGTGCACCTTTAGCAAGGAGGTCATTTGTTAGTTCCAAGATAGATGACAAAGTCACCCTTAGAGACTCCATTGTTACTTGAGATGCGAACATGGCTGTTCCTTTCTCAACGTGGTTTCTCTCTGTCAAGTCCAAGATAATCATGAAATCTTGGATGATCTAGAAAAGGGAAAAGTTTATGTTAGACATTACTTTTTTGTGCAAGCTAGCTCTTACATGCAAACGTCGACGCCTATAAAAAAAGGGACCTTTGAAGAAAGGCATAAAGTTATTTTTAACCTGATTTTTTAATGAAACATGTGTGCCACTGAATGAAAATGGAAGCTGGTAATACTTGAAATCACGCTTGCGGCGTGTCGCCTTCTCATCGACGTTTATTTCAGTTATCTGGAAGGAGAAGTTCTAAGTTCCAAGACATTTATTCGTCGTCTTTCTTTCAATAATACCTTCCTTCAATTACAAAATAAATGTCTACTTAAACTAGGCTTTTGTTGGTGTAAATGTTTGTCGGCGTTTTGTATTTTATTTATATGCCCAGTGCCTCAGTTCTTGATTAACATTACCTATTGCGAATGTTCTTCAAAAGTAGCACATTTTATCGCCCTTGCCTTAATTTCCTTGGATGTGCTCCTTATCCCAAAACGAGGAAGCTTGATGTTCAGGGCATCAAAAAGGTCATTTATGATGCGGGTAAACGCGGCTGTCCCCTCGCAGTCTTCCAGGCCATCTTGCTTGAGTCTCCGGTACACATCAAGGCCGATAGCCGTACTTCGGCTGAGCAGCTAGGGGACAGAAAACGTATAGGGGCATTTTATTAATCGCAAAAAGACTTAAGGAGAACACTTCACAGTACCAGTTAAGTTTGTGTTTCACATGTGAAGAATTTGCCTAAATAATCAGGTAAGCTATAAGTTCTTTCAAAAGCAGCTTTTCGTAATCTTACCTGTACTGCGAGCTTCACACTCATTTTTCTCATGTTGTCAGGGCAGACGTGTTCAGCGGTAAGCTTCGGAACAATGCGGAGTTGCTCTTTGCCGTCTACTTCTTGCAAAACTCGGTAGTGGTCATAGTTTATGCGATGTTCACCAATCTATGAGCAAGAAGAAGAGAGGGAAAAAAAAAGTCCGTCAGTCGTATGTAGTGCTGCGAAGAAAATGTATTTTGATTGGCACCGCGACACTATTTATTGCGATATTGTACTGTACGTGGTACTTACCATGCCATATTTGTGTCGAAGAAGATGGTTTCTAATGCATTTGACAATGTGGGGTACATCGCAAAGGAAGTAGAGGCTTTGATTTGGCTCGCATGGGTGCTGAACTTTGTGGTTTGCTGTGTGAAGCTTTCCTGATATGCCAAAGTTGGACCACATTGCTTTGTTCGTGCTGGCGCCATCACTGATTACTGCGACGACTATGGCGTTGTGTTTGCGTAGCTGCACGATTGCATCAAGAACTATTTTGGCGAGCACGTGTCCGGGGGCTGCGTTTTTTGTTGCAAAACTTGCAATCGGTTGAACCCATGAGTGGAATAGAGGCACAAACATTGCAACCAATGCATGATCAGCAGTAGCTGCTGAAACTTCACCGTCTCCGTAATTTACGAACCCATCAATCTTGTATGTTTGACGGTTGAAAGCTACGGCTTGGCGTACCTTCATTTCATCTATTACTAGTGTGCCGTAACACTGGACTCCTTTCATAGTCTTCATGAAAGCCCCTATGCTGGAAAGGGAGAGC